ACAACAACAACTAAAGAAAATCCAGTGATTACTCCTGCTCCAATAACTACTACTCTTGGATTTGGTACAGCGGCCACAACAACTACAGAAAATCCAGTGATCACTGCGGCTCCAATAACTACTACTCTGCAATTTGGTACAACAGCAACAACTCAAGAAAATCCTATTTCAACCGATGCTTTTCGTTCCACATTTGGCACAACGCCAGTTATATCACCAGTCGTAGTAACTAAAGAAAATTCTGTGCCTAATAACCCACTATCTGTATTTGGTACAGCAACAACTAAGGAAAGTTTTTCAATTACTAGTACTACGCCTTCATTAGGCTCAATACCATTCAATCAATCATTAGCTAGTAATACAAGTAATCCTATTCAATTTGGTACAATATTGCAGCCTTTTTCTTCGGTATCATCAACAAGTTTTACTGCACCAGTTACAAGTTCTACTGCTCCTTCAATTGCTACAGCAACATCAAGTATACCAATGTCACCATCATCATCATCATCTATACTACCAATTTTTGGACCATTTGGTAGTACTTCAACGGCAACAGTAGCACCAGCTATTCATATTTCATCCGATCAGTCTACTTCGCTTACAAAAGAACTCACTACGTCAACTCCATTTTCGGCAACAAATCCAATTTTATTTGGTTCTTCAACAATAACACCAGCTTCTACGACGACAAATTTATTTTCGACATCATCAACAACAAGCACTTTTCCCCTGTCGAACAATTTTACATCCACAAGTACGACATCAGCGCCATTTCAATTTGGTACCGGTGGTTTTAATTTTGGAGTTAGTTCTACAACAACACCAAATAATCCTCCATTTGGATTTACTTCTACTGCTAGTTCTCCAAATTTATTTCCACCACCAACTACTACTTCATCAGTTAGTTCAAATACTGCACCCTTTTTTGGTACAACTCCATTTGGATCAACTCAAGCATCAACTGAAAAATCTTTAAATTCATCAAATAATCCACCAGTTATGTTTGGTTTTGGATCTTCATCAAATACAACAACAAATCCTATTCAAACTCCAACAACATCAGCATTTTCTACTGGTGGCTTTCCATTTGTACCTCCATCATCATCAACAACAGTATCAACATTCGGTGCTGCTCCATCTGCATTATCGTCTAGTGGATCATCGAGTTCATTTAATTTTGGTGTAGCACCAACCGCTTCTACAAACCCTACTCAGTTTCTGTTAACTGGAACAACATCTATATCAACTTTATCTGGTTCTACAGTTGAAACTCTAAAGTAAAATACTAATCATCTGATGAAGAAAGATCTTCAACTGATTAATCGTTTTTGAGACGAAACCATGGATTTCATGTATATGCTAGTTTTCTTAGTGAGACTAACAAAAATCTAAAAAGTTCATCTCGATGTGTTTTTGAAGTTGATTAATGATCATCTTATTGAATTTCCAACTCAATTTTAGGTATCTAACGAAAAATCAAATAACAGAATTTCGATCTGAAGTTTTGTTCATAGGTCATTTAAATGATGCTTGAAAAAATATTCTGAAAGTTTCAGTCGAAAAGAAGATTCATTTATTAGAATATCAAATTTATTTACAGCTAAAACTTTCAAAATATTCTATGAGTGATCGAATCTATCTATGAGCACAACTTCAAATTGAAATTTCATTATATGACTTTTTAATAAATACTTGAAAATGAGTCAAAAATTGGAAATGAATTTTTCTAAAGGGAAAATCATAACCTTAACTTTTAAACAATATCATAAAAATGCAACAATAAGTCAAGAGCTTGAACTGTTATGAAACTCATTGTCGGTGCCAAAATTAGTAGTTTGAATAAGTAAAAATATTTTGAAATGTAGAAATCTGATTAATTACCAGACTGGGTACCGAACCCTGTTACAAGACATTACTCTATAGCAATTAATCAGTTGAGAAACCTTCTACGTCGTATCCTCATCAAAACTTCTTAATATCATATGTTAATTGTTGTTTTCTATTTTAGTCCTTACAGTGTTATGAGTAGTGATAGTTCATCGACAGGTCAACGTCGAATTCGTAAAGCTAAACGTCAACTACAAAGTTAAAAAGAAATTTAATCTTTTAAACAATATTAATAATTATCATACTTTTTCTTCTTTGTGTGTGTGTGTGTGTTTTTTTTTCTTGTTCTTTATATCTATCAATTGTATGCATGCTTAAAAAGGACGGAATGTAAGAATCTTTTTTTTTTTTTTTCGTTTTGTTTTTGTTTCATGAGAGTAATGAATAGAACAGAAAAACAAGAAATTAATAAATAAAACTAAAGTTACAATTATCTTGTAGATTATCTATTCATGGTTAAAGTACGAAAAACTTCAAAACCACCACCTGATGGATGGTAAGTATTTATTTTAATATGATTATTATTATTTGCTTTTTTTTTTGTATTTTAAAACTATAATTTTAGGGATTTAATTGAACCAACATTGGATGAATTAGAAGCAAAAATGCGTGAAGCTGAATTAACACCACATGAAGGTAAACGTAAAGTTGAAACATTATGGCCTATATTTAAAGTTCATCATCAAAAATCACGTTATATCTATGATCTTTATTATAAACGTAAGACAATAAGTAAAGAATTATATGATTATTGTTTGAAACATTCAATTGGTGATAAAAATTTAATTGGTAAGATAATAATTTAATTTCTAGAAAAGATATTATTTCTCTTTTATTTTTAGCACAATGGAAAAAACAAGGTTATGAAAATCTTTGTTGTCTTCGATGTATTCAACCACGTGATACAAATTTTAATAAAAAATGTATTTGTCGTGTACCAAAAGAAAAATTAGAAGAAGGCAAAGTTGTTGAATGTGTTCATTGTGGATGTCGTGGATGCTCCGGTTAATTATGATATAGATTCTTTCTGTTTTTTTTCTTTCTGTATCTTTCGTTTTATTTATTGTATAAACAAACAATTAAGAACAAGACAAAAAAACAATAAAATAAATACTTGTCATTAAATTTATAGAGAAATAAGACGATGTGTTGATGATATTTTATTGTAAGTTGTGCGAAATATTTCTATGAGTTCTTGATAGATTTTATCAGTTGAAATACCTGAAGCGACATTTGTTCCGATTAATGGTTCTAAATTAAATTTACATGGTTGTTTTGTATTTTTGTTTTTTTTTCTTCTGAGAAACAATTCACACACTTTAACTAGACGTTCTGAACTTGATGAATTATGATTATTTAAAGTAAAAAAGAAATACAGATTTATCTGTTAAAGCAAAAACGAATAAGATTCATAAAGACGTATCGTAGCTTCAAAAATTGATCATACAAATTTACTTTAAATTTGTTTCCAACAATAAGTAATATCCTCACAGTATTTCTATAAATTCAGGATCCCTAGAAAACTCAAAACCTAGTTTTTCCACATCGCAAACTCAGAATTTATTTTTGATTACACAAATTGATAGATTAACTCAATTAAATTTGAGAAAAGCATATATGCCTCTTTTTCTCAAAGAAAATAGCAAAAATCACTTTCTATTTTTCTTAAAATTATTGAAGCTCAGTTAAAAACAATTAGATTTAATTTCATTGAAATCTTTTCTGAAAACATTTTTTTTTGGATTCAAGTTACTATTATGAAAAAAAATAGAAATTAAATCTGTATGATAAATTTTTTGAAACCATTGTATGTTACTGTAACTAATGGAGAAGTAATCAGCAATATCTAATCTTCAATTTTTCATTCTTTTCTAACAGCTTGATTAGTATCTTGCGCATTAAGGATTATTGTAATTGACTGTTTTCAAATTCCACGTATATATACTAACTTCATGATATTTTTCAATTTTGTTCATTATTTCTACTGCTACAAAGTGAGTTTTTAGAAAAGAGTCTTATATAATGTCACAGAGAAAATAGCTTTGTTTTATTACAGTAAAAAACTGAGCGAAATACATATGGTTCCAATGAACTACGAACTTAGAACTCGAAAATAGTTAACCTATATGTTGTATATTAATGAAGAAACGACCCGAAGTGAAACTCGCGGTTTGACCCACAACAAAGTCTTAGCAACAGTAGAAAAGGCCTACAAGAGTTTGTCTCTATGTATCTTTGGAACTGAGTTATGATCATGTTATTCAATTTTCGACTCAGCTATAGATACATATCTACAAAAGCAAAAGTGAAAAATTCGATGTAAAATTTCGCCTATATTTAAAAAAAATTATTCTTTGCCATAGGTATGATACTAAAATTGTGCTCAGATGAAAATTCACTTGTTCAACAAAAAGAACAAATTTTCAGGATACTGTAAGAATCATTAGACCTATCCTATGAACAAAACTTGATATCCTGCTGTCGAGTACATATTAAAAATTCAGAAAATGATCATAAATCAGTTTGAAGGTATATTGGAGCTGAATCTTTAAACTTTTGCAAGTCTCATCAAGGCATTCTTGTAGGTTTAACATTATTTCCTAAAATGAAAATAATTGTATCAAACTTCATTTTAATATATAATTGATTATCTCAAGTATAACATTTTGTTAAACTTTACTTTAGAAATAAGAAAAGAATGACGATATTAAATTAATATGAACTCGAATTGATGTTTTTTATCAATTACAAATCTCACCTTCAATAACAACATATCGATTGTTTCGATCAATTTCATTTATTAATTCTCGTTTATTCATTTTTCTTCCAGTTCGTATACTTATAACATTATTTGGAAAACTAAATTTCAACGAAAAAAAAAAAAATATTTTCTATACAATTATATAATAAAGATCTTATATTTACTCAAAATCGATTGCATAAAATTTAAGAAAACCAATAAATAAATCGTCTACTTCAACATTAACATTTATTGATATCCATATTTTTGCTAAATCAATTGTATCAAATAAATTTAATTTACGAATATCAATATTCTTATCAAATTTATTAATTGATATTATTTCATTAAAACGAGGTACGATTGGTGAAGGTAAAATTGCTATTTGTAAATAATAGATACACATTAATGTAAGACAATATCCATTAAAACTATAATGTATTCGTTGTTTAAGATTATATTTTGATGCCCAATATCTAAGTATGAGATTTTATTTTGAAAAAAAAACGAAAAAGAAAAAAAAATAATTATTTAAATTAACTTAATAATATTAATAAGTATTGGTAATCGATGATCACATTCAGAATAAAATCTCATTAGATATGTATTTCGTATAGTAACAGCTTCATTTAAATATATATTACATGTCATAGATCTATATCATAATAGACAGTTATATAAGAAAATAATAATATTTTTCTTATAAAAACATACGTTAATAAATCAAAAAATCTAAGTATTGGAAATGTTTTTTTGACTAATTTTACATGTCGAAAATATTCTTCATTAAAACAAATTAATTAATAGAATTATAAATAAATTAGAATTTTACCTCCATGTTGAAATATATCACAAATTTTTTGTAAAATATAACTTGATTCATATTCACTTAACTAATAAAAGATAATAAAAGTATTGAAATCTTTCATTTTAATTACTTCATCATGTGATATCATTAAACAAATATCAAGTTCACTAGTACACTGACTAAATCCATTAACTGTTGATCCAATAATGTATAAACCAGCATCTATTTTATATATTAGAATTATCAAAATTATGTTGATATTATTTTTACATACATGGAAATATATCTCGAAATAATTCTTGAAGACTATTAACTAATTTATATTTAATTTTTTGAATAAATTCACTTGTTTGATTACATTGCCATAATTCATAGAGTTCATTATTAAACTATATCATATAAAATATCGATTATTCGTACTATTTAAAATTTTTACTTACAGTTGATCTCGATGGATTGAATTTAACTTCACGATTACTATTATTATTAGATGAAGAAATGGGATCTACAATTTCAAATGTAATGCAAAAGAAAAACTTAAGATTAAACAGGTCAGAGCAAGCTCAAGATATTATTTTGTCTTTAAACAGCTTACTGTTCTAAAGTTATTGAATTTAAAATTTTTTTCTAATAACCATACTGAAATTCTTTTATTTTATTTAGTATAATGTAAAACACCATTGTTTTTTCAATTCTGACTGCTTACAACCTTCTTCGAACTTTGTTCGATTGAACTGAAATTTTTACCACAAATCTTTGGACATATTTCTACACAGGTAAAATCGGCTATTTTGGTTTTTGGCTTTTTTTTGATGTTACCAACTGAGTTTATGGTGTTTCATGATCTTCTATTACTTCTTGTTTGCATGGATTGTTCATAGGTGACGTTTTAACCTTCCATTGTCATTTATTCTTACCATATGCTTTGTCCTTCCGATTTTGTCATTTCCTTGATTCTTTCTTTTCACCTGTCGTTCTCTCTACTTTTTATTCTCTATCCTGGTTGCTTATATAAATGTGTGTTTTGTATATAAACAATGCGATCTTATGATATGAAGTAATAGAATAAAACATTATCTCATCCATATTAATACTTTTTCTATCAAAGATCGTCGCACTTTCCTATCTGGATTTATAGAATTCTGAAGATCAACACTCAGATTTGAGCTTATATCTCTGAGATATAGTCTGAAGTATCTCCAAAAATATGTTCATCTGAATCGAATAAAGTTTTATCGAACGCGTGTCTCCTTATTCTAACTGCCCTATCTATAAAGAAATAAGATTGATACTTGTTTTGCAAGAGAAGGTAATCTAATTTATAGTCCTAGAAAAGATTTTTTCTGTACCTCGCATCTCAGTCATCATGAGGAATAGAAGTTTGAAATTATTTTTACTCATACTATTTTTTTTCTTTGATACTTTCAACATGAGTATGCAAAAAAACCGTCTATTGTCTTTTTAAGATCCATAGTCCACTGATAGTTCAATAAACTGATCTGAAGCTTTTTGAAAAATTTTCTTCATATCTTGATATTATTTTCTGCAAGTTCCATTATACTAGAAGAATATGACGTACGAATATTCAGAACTAATCATTTATTTGATAAGAACTAAGACAAACTTTAATAGGCAGTCTTTTAAGATTACGAAGCGAAATCCGAATGGTGCCATTGATCTACATGTCTAATGCAGTATTTTCAAACTTCTAGCCACTATGTTGACAGAGATCTACTAGAAGGAAAGATACTTGTCCATATTAAATAAATATGACATACATCCATTGAAGAATTTGTATTTGAAAGTAGTATTGAACATTTCTTTATTTTCAAAATAGATAAGTTTACTAATAAAACTCTTGATTAAAGTACTATTTTTGTTGGCGGGTAAAACAAAAGTAAATATCTTCTATTACAGAAATGAATTATCATTTTTTTTTAATATAAAAGACACTATATTTATAAAAAAAAACAGTTTACACTTTCTCTTTTCTTTCTTTCTTCTACGTGTATTGTGTACATGACCAAAGAATAGAGAAACGAACAAGTGTGCCGCTAGAATCACTATCCACCTGTCATAGAATGTAGAGTCCTCTTTCCGTTCATCCTCAGGGATACGTAAAAATCTATTCACGAAAATCTTGTTTTTTTTTTTTAATAAATAAACTATTCTTATAGTTTATTTCTATGAACTCATTCGTGTTGGTTTTTTTTAGTTTAAATTGATTTAAAAAATTAACAACAAGACATTACTTTAAGAGCTTTACCATGAACATTTGTTTTCGGTAAAATGACTTTGTCCTTATGATTAACATTCTTGTTAATAATAATTTTTTATGAATATTTTTCTCTTTAGAATATCAATTCGTACTTTCGCTAAGATAGCTTCATTCAAACCTCGTCCTATTGTTTTTTCGGGCCCAAGCGGGTAAAATTTAAAGTTTGTTTTTGTTATATATTAACAAAAAAAGAAATTGTGTTTTACTCTTCAAATGATGATAAACAAAAGTGAAGGGCGATTAATATAAAATCTATTTACTAGATCTGGCAAAAGTACATTAATAAATCAATTATTCCAAGAATATCCAACAGCATTTGCTTTCAGTGTTTCTCGTATGTCTAATTGACATATCTGACAGTTATATTTATTTATTGTTTGTTTATTTAGATACTACGCGAACACCTCGACCTGGTGAACAAAATGGTCGAGGTATGTAATAGATTTTTTTCTATTACATAATCATTTCATTGGATGAATAGAATATTATTTTGTACCACGAAATCAAATGGAAAAAATGATTGCTAATGGTGAATTTCTTGAAACTACAGAATTTTCCTCGCATCTCTATGGAACAAGGTTAATAAAAAGAATATAGAATGATACAAAAGCCATTTCACTGAATAGAAAAAAAAAATTGAATATCATTACTAGAATACAATGTAAAACGAACCGATTCTTTTACCATTGGTACAGAAATGTATAGAGCTAATATTTCTAAGACAAACATTGAAATTTGATCGTTAGTTTCAATAAAAAAATTTTAACCATTAACTGCTTTTCTATATATTTAAGAAGTAAGCCGTAAATGACAAGACATTGTTGAAAAGCTATAATATCATTTTCCATCGTTCGTTCACTGTTATTGATTTTTTTACCAAGGTCAATAGGAATATTTCATAATAATGTTTTATTTTTCTTGTAAACTATAGATCATGAATATTGCTTGAGCAATGCTAATAAAAAAAAAGGTCATCTACTTGTATAGGCAGAATATGACCGAGATATTCAAATTACGAATGCAACAATGACGGTGTGCTAGTCGATCTCTTCAGCTGTTTCTTTTCGATTCCAACGATTTTTTTTTTGTCTATAGATATCACATATAGTGTTGTGTTCTAATAAAAATTGTAAAAGGACTTGAATTCCTATTGTAATTTGACTGACCTATCGAATTTTTGATATGTCTATTTTATAGAGGCCCCAAGTTTTCGGAAAATTCATATTTTCGAATTTTAATCTGAAACTTTGTGCATATAGAGAATTCAACTAGACTGATTTTCATAAAAAAAAAAATTCAAAAGTTCGGAACAAAGCCTCTTCGAGTTATAAGGCTGTCAAAAAAATACATATATTATAGATTATCTATGGAAAATGATCTATATCTTGAAAGCTTCGTATTTCGAAAAGACTTTATTCAAAACTTCTGAATTTCTTTATCAAAATTAATTTCGTTGACTTTTCTATATGCCTAAAGTTTCGAATAAAAATTCCATAGTTTAGTCAAGTCTCAATAGGGCCTAAAATCCTCTCAAAATTTTTATTAGAACCCTAACAGTTTAGTAATGTGTTAAAAAATTCAACTATATTCTTGAAATAAATGCAGTGCTTTACCTAAGATAGCTACATAGGTGATCACCTTCAATATTGCATTCTTAATCGAAATTTTTGTTCCTAGTAAATTGACTTTTGGTTCATTCTGTATTTGTTCTCAACATTTGTGTATATGTGTTTTTTTTGTTTTTTTGTTGCTTAGTAAAAAAGCTGTTGAAGATGTAGCTAAAACAGGTCATATATGTGTACTTGATGTTGATAAACAAGGTGTTAAAAGTATTCGAAAAACAAATCTTCATCCATTATTTATTTATATAAGTCCACCAAGTTATGAAATTCTTGAAAAACGTTTACGTGCACGAAAAACTGATGATGAAAATGCTATTCAACATCGTTTAAAAGAATCGAAAGAATCAATGGAATTCAGTAAAGAACCTGGTGTATATGATCATATTGTAATAAACGATAAACTTGATGTTGCTTATAATGATTTAAAAGAAATTCTTCATAAAGTACGACTGTCTATTATATAGAAAGATAATTTTTCGGTTTATTTCTTTTTTTTTTAAGGATATTGAAGCAGTTTTGCAACAGCAAAAAATAAACAAAAATGGTCAAAAATAAATAGTCTTTTAGTTTTCCTTAGATGTATTTTTAATAATAGAAAATCCTGCATATATTTGTTTCTTACAAAAAAATTACTTTAGTAAATATGTATTATTTTGGCACGATATTTCACTTTTTTTTTATCTTCGTAATCTTGCATATTTTGAACGAAGAAAGTACAAATAAAGTATTTTGAATTGAAATTCAGAAAGTGATTCCAAACTTGTACGAGTGCTGAAAGTCGTTCTAAATTATACAAAAATTTAATATTTTACTGTTAGGCATTTTCTTTTACGTCATTGGATTCAATGACGCATTTAAAAAATGTTTTACAAATACTAAACTACAATAAAAAAACAAATTTACACGAAGATCATGCATGATCTCTTTTCATCCCGCATCATTTTGCATACTAATCGTACCGTCGTCTAGTTCTCAAAACCCATCTGTATTATTTTTTATGACAGTGCAGATGTCTATTAAATGCTATTTTAAGTCAAAATACCCAATAGATCGGATCGAATTCAAACAGGAAAACATATTCAATGATAAAACACCAGTGTATATATGTCAGTGGTTTAAAAATAATAAGAAGTAAACTCACTCTATTTAGATCGAAAGATTGATACTTGTAGACAATGTCAATCAATAAGATCTCTTCGAAATAACGAGCTGTTTCCTTGAAATTTAATATTCATGCGAAGTTAAAAAGATATGGACGTAATCTGAATAATTCGATAATGGCAACAGGTAGCGATATACAGTTTTCAGCAATCGAAAGAAGAGAGATCTCGATATCTTTTTCACAACACTCAATAAGCTGTATGAAAATGGTGTTTCATTTTCATTTAATTATGATTAATCTGAAAATAAGAGTAAAAAAGAATACCATTGAATATTTTGTGAGGATGATGAGTTTTAGAATAATTTTGTTTTATATGTTATCAGATTAATGGACGTCCAGAATTCTCCTCATTCAATTGTTGAAAACTGTAGGTCACTAACTATTACCATCGTTGAGTTAATGAGATCAGACTTATCCCTTCTGTAATTCTAATGCGAACATTACATCTCTAAAGATCCTACTCAAGTTTCATGAAGGCATAAATGCTTTACACTCATAATAAGTTTTATTCAACCGTCAAATAGTCTTAAACACATAGACTATTATTGTCAAACTTTTATGCATATATCATCTTCACTGTTGGACATTTGTTTGCAATTCATCTAATGAAGATTTTATTTGAACACGTGTTTCATCAAGAGTGATAACAATATGATCAACTATATTTGACATTTTGATGTATTTTAAAAAAATAAAATAAAAAAAAGGCAGTGCACAAAAAAAAAAAAGAAAGACACTCGGATATTCACTCGTTTTCTAATGAGCAGAAGCATATAGTCTTGGTGGTGGCATTTGAAATCCTGAATAATTTGTTGATGCTTGTTTATAATTTTCACGTGTAATATGTAAATTAACATGTTTATTAATAATTGAATCCATAGGAC